GTTTTCACTAGTATTGTCATCAAATGAGACATATAGTAATAGCATAGTGGTTAATGTTATCATATTGTCAACGATTTCTAGCAAAAAAAAAAAAAATTACATGTCAACCAAAAATGCATAATGTCAACGAAAAAAATTGCACCATCACAGTATTTTAATGAATATTTCTTGTTTTAGTCATTCGTGAATAGTTGTTTAGAAATTCCGTAACTATATATATTCGGAAAAATATTTAACAGATCATTATATCTTATATATATAGGCGTATCTAAAAAACATATTTACCCAAGATATAATATTTTAAACAATAAAAATTATAGACATATTTGGTTGAACCAGGTGCATAAAAGGCGAATAAGAGAGATTTTAGCTATTTGAGCATCTGAATTTCTTATATAACCAAACTTTTATATAGGCATTTACGGCCTTAACAAATCTCTCATCACCCCTGTATATATATAATCATACATGTTTGTCACCACAGAAAATAGTTTTGATTTGTATACCGAAACAAATGGTGAAACAAATGATGAAACAGTGATGTTTTACAAGATTTAAGCAACACACGTTCCTATGAAATTTCTATTTATGATGCTCCATCGTTCTCCAAATGTGTCAGCAAACTATTTTTAAAATTCAGTGTAAACTAACGCAAGATATGAATGTCTTATTCGACTAGTTGCAGACATATGACGAAATACACATCTAGTCATTAAAATTATGTAATAATTACATTATTTATATCCTCCATCATCCCTCTCATGTAACGACCCCCTACCCCCGTGATATCATCAATCAATCTCGTGCAAATCTACGTTCTCCGCCGTGTTGTTTACCGGCAAAGGCAACGACGATACATCCATTAAAGATGTTGAGATCTCGATCAAGATTGAGTTTTTGGTGGGCCTGGCCCATATGGGCTTTAAAGAAAAAATTGGAAGTAGCCCAACAATCGGATCCAAGATTTTCAAATCTGCTTTGGAAAAAAGGCTTAACATCATATCGAGGTTTGTCTTCGCAATTCTTGTATAAGAACACTCATGAGATATCTATGCAAAGCTGTACAGCTTCTTTTGTTGTTTTAGGCATATTGTTACAAAGCTCGTTAAAATTGTTGTCCTCCAAATCGATCCTGGAGATACCAATTCGTCTTCATTGTGCTTCATTCCATCATTCGTCGAGAGTCATATCTCCACGTTTTCTGGATTTTCAAATTCTGTAATTTACTCTCGGAGGAAGAGTTCAATTCCACCATCTTCCATCTCTTTGAGCATGGTCGTATTTTCTTCTCTCTTATGGAGAGTGGTTGAACCCCTGTGCTTTATGCCGGGAATTTTAAAGTCACATGGTAAATGGACTAACCTGAGAATCTCCGGCTTTGCCGCGAAGATCCTTTTGACGCATCCGAGGCATACTTTGGATATGTTGTCTATCATCTTCTGCGATGATATATCTGCTCTTTATTTTATTGTATTTAAATTATGTTGTATTAATGTGAGAGGATGCTTAATTTCCTCTTTTTGTACTTTGCTCGGTTAAATGAATGAAGTAAAATTGTTGAKAAAAAAAAAAAATTACAATATTTATATTACATAGTATTCAAAAATAATTCCATTACATGTGAGCTGGATCCGGTCTAAAACAACGTATTTGTCTTATTCACAAATTTTTTTTTCTATAAACCATGAGAGTTCTAAACTTTTAGCTCATAATCTTTTCAAGTACCCGGAAGCATTTTTTGGATATTCCAATTTAAATAATAACTCTCTGTACCAAAGGGGATTTAAACCGGAGTACAACTTTTTAGAAAAAGAGTTTTAATTTTTTTTTTTATTGGTAGTCTTAAAAGTCCAAAACTCTAGAATATTACAGATCTATTAGATTATGTAGCACGTTTATTTTATTTATAGTCAACTGTTAGCAGAAGATTCATTGATCTTCGGTTATATCGGCATAATCATGTCGAGCGAGTTGTCGACTATTATCATTTCCCTATTTTCAAACAGACTTCTCAACAATATTTTAGAATCTTCACACAATTTTTGTTGCCATAATTTTATCAATTTTATTGTAATTAATATATTGTTGACCATGCATGGAATCGTATATTTACTAATGTTGAAACTTTTCCAATAGAGATAGGATATATAAGCATAAGAATTTACTTTCACGAAGATAGAATCTCTCTTTGGGATTTCTATAAACATACTTCTTAAAACATGCTTCATTGCTTCGCAACCGATTTTTAGTCGAAGAAATAGTTTTTTTGGGATTTCTGTAAACATATTTCATGAAACCTGTTTCGCTCTTTTATGCATACGATTTGTAGCACGAATAAATTTTAACAGATTTTAACAGATTGCCGAAACTATATAACATTAAATATTTTAATTGGATTTTAAAATACTAATCTTTTAAAATGGGAAAACAATTTCCGCGTTAATAAACGTTAACAGAGCAACATTTAAAGATGTTGCTGTGAGTTTTGGTAAAAGGAAAAAAACACAAGAGGAATATGATTTTGAGAAATTTTAAAAAATGCCAATTTACAAAAATGTCATTTTTTTACAATCTTTGTAAACATGCCACTTTTCAAAATTATTTATTCATTATATCATTTATGTTTGGATTAACTATGTTGTATTAGAGTTTAGTTTTGAGGGTTTTAGGGGTCAAAATATTTTTTAAGGTTTAGAATTTTAAGATTTAGGCTCTAAAAAATCATAATTAGTGACATTTTTGCAAATGGACACCAAAAATGATATTTTTGCAAATGTGGATACAGTGGCATTTCGAAATGCGCTTTCTTAAAGCATCATATGTAAGTTTATTATGTAAGGGAACAATTTTTTGTTTCTCAAATATAATTATAACAATTCGTTTCATTAATTTGAAAACTATTTAAAACAAAAAAAAATGTGCACTTTTTTCTTAGTGACAAGGAGAAATTAGGCATAAATCATGACTTCTACATCTAAGATAATCTCCAATATATTTTTCTATTTTCTACTCTAAAATAAAACAAAAAATAACA